GACATAAAAACATCCCTAGAAATCATTACTGTTTGTGACTTCTGAAATTAATAAATATGATTTTATTGCTATTTCTATGATTCTTTTAAGTTGTAATTCAACATTTACAGCAAACATACAGTATTGACAGTCTTACAGTAGTTACTATATCATTAAAACATGTTAACTGAGGTCTTCATATTTGTGTGTCAATTTGAAACAAAAAAAAACAGCTCTTACTTCTTATATGTAGCGTTTCCTGGATGTATCTCAGTTTGTGGAGACTTCAAAGCAACACCAAATTGCCCAGAGAAATGTACGGCTGAGGGGTAGGAATAAGGGTACAGGAATGAAACTGGCTTCTTTTCTTGTCAAAGAAGAATTAGCACACAACTCTGGGGTTTTTCACATTATTTCATTGTTCATAAAACAGTAGAAAACAATAAAGAAAAAAATATATAAATTATATGCTTTAATTCATTAATGCTTTGGTGGCATTTTCTTTTTCCAGGCCTTAATTTGTGAAGAGATGGCAGAAGAGGATAACCCTTCCCTCCTATTCCTCTGCTGTTGCTCATGAAGACTGCATAAATCCTCAGACAGAAAGAGGAAAAATAGGGCACTTTCATATTTATTTAAGTGTCAGATCCAGAGCTGTCTGTGGGGAGAGAGAAACAGAGAGGAAGAGAGGAGGAAGGGCTGCAACCACAGGAACTCAGAGGGCTCACAAGGCTTCCTCTGTTTTCCCAATCTTTCAGCACACACACACTCATCTGACTGCATGGACCCAGAAAAAAAGGGAAACAGTGAGAACTAAGAGAGGAGGAAATGTGTGCAAATAAAACAAACAAATAGTCTCAGTGCAGAAGGCTAAGTGTCTAATTAGTGATTATTTTCAGGTGCTGATCAGATAGTGATCCACCGCCTCAGATATCACATCAGTTATGGGTACATAGAGTACAGAATAGATAAACCCTCATCAGTGTAGTTTAAAGAACAGGAAGCTCCCTCTTTACTTTGACACTCTCTCTCTCCTCACCTAATTACCTGCTGCCTTTAGGTCATGGCAAACATAAAGCAACACTTCCTCCTGGTGGTCAGACTTTGAACAGCAATGACTGCAGACATGAATGAGTTGCAATCCTGACAGAACTCATCAATATCTCTGTTTAAAGATGAAGTATACTCTGTCATCAATGGAACTTTACTATTAAGTGGACTTGCAGTCACCAGATGGGCTGTTTGGTCTGAGCGCATCCATCCAGCTAAATAGAACATTTTTGAGACTAGAAATGAAGTGGTTTATATATTAATTAAATTTAATTTACATTCTACCCAAGATCAAGACTGGATCACTTATTTTCCCTTCATGTGATTTCATAAAATCATGAAATAATTTTTTAAGAAAGGCTGCAATATTTCAAGCATTCAGACTGTAACTGTGCTCTTCCTTAGCTCCAGTGACTTTGAAAACAAGTCTACATGTATCAAATGTGTGATGCACAGAAATCTGCTATCTTGAGCAAGAATACTACAATCTGAAAAAAAATTCAAGTTGGAAAAAATCAAATCTACACTTTTTGTACATTTAAATCAATAGAAAGTTGTTTTCTAACACCTACAGGGAAGGCTTTTTCTAGAATACAATGTTTAATCAGCCACTGTATTGCAATATGCCCAATTACAGTGGGGTCTGTAGAACATATAAAGAAATCTATTAAACAGAACCAGTCAGAGAACCTGAAGAAAGGTAAAGATGGCAAAAAAAAAAAAATCAGTGCTTCATACCAAGTACACCAGTTGAGGCGGGATAAGTGGGGATGGCATCCCCCTTCTTAAAATAATCTTGAGAATCATCCATCTTCTTAAACGACCACCCCCCCCATACCGTCCCCTGTGACATTTTATTACTGAATGTGTAAAATTTATACAATATATTTAACAGTAATGGAAATAATATTGCCCTTTCAACATTTGGAAGGCTGTGGGCTTATGAGTAGCCTGAGCAAAATAAATAAAATCAAAGAAGTGGCCTACCATGACTATGAAGCTGACCCCAGTTGGGAAATGTGTCCTCTGCATTTGTCCCTTACTACAGTATGTAGGGGCAGTGAAAGACATGCCAGTCCACAACATGACTGCAGCTCTATTAGGTACCTGACATGTAATAACTATACCATGCATACTGCTTTAGGTTAATTAACTATATTAATTAGGCTATGTATGCTACAAAAATAAAAAAAATCCACCATCCTTTTTTATTTTTTTACAACTAGACTACTGTTCATACCTCTGTCTGAAGGAATCAACAGCAAAGACATTGACATTAAGAGTGGAAAGAGTTACTAAGCTTCTTCTAAGACTTTGGGACTTCAGCAAACAATTATCTACAAAACTGAAAAAAAAACAATAACTGGAAAGCGAAGACTCCTTTCAGGAAAGCTGGCTAATCACATTACTCCAATAGCACAACAAAGGCTTCATTTAGGTTTTTACAGAATGAACAAAAACAATTTTATCTATGCCAGACAGAATAGATGAGACCTAATCTAATCATGGATTGGCCGAAACATAATCTGAATGGTGCCACTTTGGGGGACATATTCATATTGGGGGACTGATGAGACACAGTGGTGGTAGTATGATGACCTGAGGCTGCTTTGCTGCTTAAGAACCCAGTTGAGGCACAGTAGGAGGTTGAACCATGAAGTCTGCCCTCTACCACATCAGTCATCTGCTGGTGACTAACTGCTAAAGTGTTCTTGAGAAATGAAGCAAAACAATATTCAAAACAACAAGACCACCTTTGAGACTAAGTGAAAAAACTCACTTTTGTCGGAAGATTAAGATTTCTCTTATTTCATATATATTTATTTATCCTATTTACTCACTATAAAAGTTTTCACTCAGTCTCTTCGACAAACAAGGCCACAAACAGCCCATGTGAGGGTGTTTGTAGACCAGACAAAGCTTCTACCCATAACAAGCCAGATTCTTTCTCAACGTTTATTCATAACATGTTACTGTTAACCAAAGTGTCTGTACGGTAATTTGTTTTGACTCTACTTTCCATAGTTGTAAGGGGGAACGAACGCTGCTCAGCAAGAATGCTGTGCCATAAGGGCTGTATGATGAACTGTTCTCTCTTTGCAAAGATATGAACAAAATGCTGACTGAGTGAAATCCATCGATCTCTGTTTATTTAACTAGGGAGAATAGTTGAATACTTTTTTCCCCACTACAAGACACAACTTAAAGTTGAGTAAAATGCTTTGAAATAACCTTGAAAAAAAGACTGTGCTTTAAGAAAGTCCAATATGGCTGAATTAAAATATTTCTGTAAAATCCTCCACAGCATTGTAGAGAAACTACCAGTTACCTTAAACACTTTATGGAAGTTATCTCCCTAATTGGCAGAACCATTAGAATCGTAAATCATTTGCTTCTTCAGAGAGGACTGTTCTGAAAGCTTAAAAGTTTCATGATCTGAAGTATAACACCAATTCAAAAAAACATAAACAAATGAAATCAATGAGGAGGCATCATGAGTTGGATCCATCCATAGAAGGTCTTTTCAGTCTTAAATAAAACCACAGATGTTTGTTGTCATGATTGGATTGACTTTATTTGTAAGGCACCAGAAGTCCTTCCTTACTGCAGAACAACTCATATTAGTCATAGTAATTTTTTGTTGCACTTTTTTTTTTTTGGTTCAAATGAAGCTAAGCTTTCAAACACAAAACATGTTTTTTTCTGCCAAAGTACACAGTTTTTGTTTTGCATTATACACAAAATAAGTATTTAAAAAAAGACATTTACAGAGCTCAGAATGCAAACTATGATTCAATCTATGAGGGCAGAAAGTCAGGGAGGAAAAGGAAGACCGAGGATGAACAAAAGTAGACAGAGGTCAAAAAGGTGAATGTTCTGCAGTTTTCCCCTCAGGTGTCACATCGCTTTTGTAACTGAACACCACAAGTATCATCCAAGACATACAAGAGAAGATGCAGCCATATACACATAAAGCTTTCTATGTATAACTGTATAGAGAGGTGAGCACCTCTAACTACTTGTACAAATACATAGTTTCATTTGTTTATAACACAGGCTTTGTAGTTCTCCCTCTAGGTTATATTGAGTACAATTCAAAATGAACAGAAACAAAAAATCAAGTGCATTGATCACAAAGTTTCTTAAAAAAAAAAAAAAAAAGGTATCTCCACTAGAACAAAATCAATGTTCCCCGCAGACATGCACCGATGTGTTTCGCTTTCTGTCTAAACATCTGCGCATCACTACAAGTGCAGGATGTAGCTAGATACAAGCAACATGTGAGGAGAACTTGCTGCAAGCTTAATTCACAAGCATGAAAAGCCATTTCAGTTGGTTTATCACTGACTACCAGATCTGTACACCTGTTTATACACAACGTGTTATGTATATACATAGATATACAAAAGCAGGTTAGATTTAACCTATCAAATGTTTACCTTTAAAGCATTTCTGACTTTGCTGGGTTTATTTAAATCTCCCATGTTCATGTAAATAATAAATTTTCATTGTTACGACTGCATCAAACATCAAGAGAGTCACTGTTTTTGTCAGCAAAACTTTTAGCTATAAAAATGTGCTAATCTTACCAGAAACCATCCTGTGGCTTCTGCAAAGAGTGGAGATATAGTAACTGCTCGTGCTATTGAGCTACGAGAACAAAAAGAAGCATTTCTGCAGAACTTAAACTAAACTGAAATAACTGGGATTCTTGTCTCTTTATTAACTGGATCCAGCAAAGGTGAAGGGCCTTTGCAATCGTTCAGAAGTGGATGAAATGTGCTGGTATTTAACTCTTAAAAATCCTTTGGGAGAAAAAAAAGGATTCATAACTGCAGAGTGTGCATGACTATAACAGGTTGTAACACCAACACTGCATTCAGGCAGAGCTCAAATCAGTACTTTGTTAAAAAAAAAAAAAAAAAAATGATGTAAATCATTAATGATAAATGACTTTTAAAAAAAAATTAACCCATTTTTAATCTGCCAATTCAAATGAAAAAAAATATATATTTTAATAAGGGTAAACCTTATTTAAATAAAAATAACCTGCTTGTCTGACTGTGCACTGCCTTAAAACATCATTGATAAAAACATCTACTAATAAGGATTCCGTCTTTTTGAATTTACATCTGTCATAAACTCCAGGCCATTTGTTTTGACAAGAAACATTTAGTTGGAATATCCGGATTTGCAATTTAGAAAGGTTGCAAAGGATCAATACTATATGTTGTTAAAGTATCAGTTGGAAATGGTACAAAAAGTCCATAATAGCATCACATGTACACCAAAGAAAGGCTTCAACAATTTTAGAAAACATGCAAAAACAGCAGATACATCTCAAACATTGTTTCTGTATTCTGGAACAGGTCAGATTTCCAAGAAGTCAACAGCAACATGCGCCAAGTGATTAAGAAATATAGTTACTAAAGTAAACACCATGAAGTATGGACAGAAACTCTCAAAGACAAGTTGGAAACTTTCAACTTCTCCACAAAAATAAAATTCTGGCTTAAAAATTGAAATCTTGCTTCATCATCCAAAGACCACCTTACTAAGAGTGTATCAGAGGTGGTGGCAGCATCATGCTCTGGGTATTTTTAATCTTTCTTAGGTAAGCTCATTGAAATTTTGAACTGTTTAACATACCAGTGACTTTCAAGTCAAAACCTGAAGATAAAATAGGACTTTTTCTTCAGCGCCCCAGTAGGTCCAACCAATCGTCCAAAGAACTTCAGCAAAGTAGAGGCAAATATCACAGTGTTTAAATCTGACTTACTAAAACATTCCCTTAAAGAAGAATAAATGCTGGAATGGATTCAAATGATGCTTTAACGAAGGGTGGACACTTATTCTACCAGGTTACTGCATCTGTGTACCTAAACATTTTTGTCACAATCAGGAAAAAAATACTGAAATGATTAATCAGAAACTAAATAGGTTGATGGCAGAAAAATTATCATTTTGACAGGTGTCTCCATCCGAATGTTGTCCAACAGATGCACATGATGGATTAGGAAGGGTTGGCTTTACTGCTTGTAATAAAGAATATTAATGAAATTGGTAAATTGCAACAGAATATTTTAATGTTATGAAAAGCTTTCTACTGAAAGATATCTTTAAATGACAAAAGCCCAAAGATATTTATCTTCTCATATCATGACTGCATTAACAGTCAGTAAACGTGTCTATTGTTTATGTAGATTTTATAACAAAATATATGCAAACCAAGGATTTTCAGACCAAAGGTTTGAGCTGACCAAAGAGATGAAAATTCAGTTCAGTGCCAACCTAAAAACTTTAGAATAAATCAGCTATCCCAATGAGATACCGCCTGCTTACTGCTGTCCTCGTTTCCCACTAAAGCCTGAACCTAGCATGGACTGCCCTCTGCTGTCAAACACACACCAACCTCCCTCTTCAGGGTCTGCTCTGATGGAAGCTGACAGCAGATAAATGAGGTTTTAGGTATTTTTGTTCCAGTTTTAATTATCGTAGCATGAGATATGCAAAAAAAGCAACATGGAGAATAAATCTGATGTGCCAGAAAATGGGTACATTATTTTTAAATGGTTTCTTCAAATTTGAATTCAGCCAACTTTCTTTATAGTTCGCAGGACTTCTGTTTGTATTTTTGACTATTCCTGCTAAAAATATTATTTCATAGCATGACACCAACACCACTTTACATAAAAGTGCTACAAGGTGTTTATAGCTTTCATAATCTAATCCCTGCTTTAACTCCATGTTGACCATTCCCTAAAATCACTTTTGATCTTAATGCAGTCATGGTGGTGTGTGTAGCTCATTAATATCAGTTGATCAAGAACCAAATCAGCTGATAAAAGATCTTATTCCAAGCAATTTGATACCATTAAATGGGTCCCCAACACTTCCTACTTAACCCTTTGGTCTTTCTGATGCTGTTGGTTTGTTTGCCAAGAATCTCTTAGTCTTAAAGACCCAAGCGGACTTTGCTTACCAGTCAAGTGTTTTTTGTTTTTTTAAGGTAAAAGGTGTGCACTGGATTTTATTCGGGGGTATTAAGTGTCACGAGAGCTGAACACAAAGGCACAATACATACCTTTTCAAATGATGATTTGAAAAAAATAAAAAAATAAACCAGTTATGCAACATTTTTCTTCTACCAATTGTGACATACTTCTTTGAATCTCTCAGATGGACTGGGAGATTACCAACCAAATGTGATACTTTTCTTTTTACCCCTGAAAATACTAAAATACACTGATATATGTGGCTGTGACATGGAAAGACGCAACGAAGTTCAAGAGATGTTCAGAGATATTTTTATATGTTCTCTCGTATATCAGGATACCACAAAATAAAACAACTGCAGGAAGTTTTTCTTAAAAAAAAAAAAAGATAAAAGTTACATATTACAAAACACCAGCAATGATTAGCTAGTAGGTTTTTGGACGATACACAAATATTAGGAAATGCCGCAATATAGGTTTAAACTGTAGTTTTAAACTGCCCACCCCCTTCTGTGACAATCAAATTAAACTCAGTCCACATCAACCTTAGAACCAATCCATGCAATCTAAAAATTCCATAATATTGACCCACTTCATCATATTGATAATGTTGATCTTGTTTTAAGAGCCTGGACTTTGTGTTTTAGTGTTTATCAGGGAGTCCTAGTGTTTACCAGCTTCCCTGTTTCAACATTAACTGAGTGATTTAGTTGGACATATGGATAAGATCTGCTAAACAAGAACCAGTGCAGAGCAGCAGCAACAGGTTACAATGCAGTGTACTAAAGTAGAACAAAAAACAACCAGAAAGTGGAAAAAAAAAATAAAAAATGAGGGATCCAAAATCCTAAAGGATGGTATGTCCTAAATGAAAAGGAAAAATGCACTTTAAACAAACAAAAAGACTTAAAAAGTAACGATTGATGTAATTTTTATTTTTGTAATATGAGTGCCAAAGCTTTTCCCAGAGTGGGATAGGTTAGGGCTTTAAAGCTGGAACTGCATTCAAAAGATAGAACCTTGTGTTGGGTAAGGTCAAAAAGGAAGAAACCAGGGGGGGGGGGCTGCAGGGACAGATCTAGGTATTCATGTCTCTGTGATAAAAGAGCTGGATGGAGACAGAATCTAATCAGACTTGTCGCCGTCCTCCTCACGGTGGCTGTCTACGCCGTCACGAGAAGCCTTCTCCTCCTTGGCCAGCTGGGCCTGGGAGGCCAGCAGAGAAGACAGTGAGAAGAGACCGGAGGAAGTGGTGACGGCTGGGAGTGTTGGCTGGCTCAGGCCCAGAGGCAGGGGGGTCATGGGCAGGGCCAGGCCCTGAAGCTGGGACAGCTGGTGAGCCTGGAGCTGCTGCTGCAAGGAACACAAGCAGACTAGTTAGGGCCAACACAGAACAACAGGAACATGCTGGCTACCAAAAACAATTCATGCTGAAGCTTATGGAGAATCCTGTTATTTCCTGAGGTAACATGTTGATATTCTAGGATTTATAATATAATGCAACATAACCTCTGGTTATCTGAGCAGCTTTTAATAAAACCATCTAAAACACTGAACAAGTGTAGCAGCAGGGCACAGAAAACAAAAGAACACCATTAACACAGTTTTATTTATAGACAAACCTCCAAGCCTGTGTATTTTAATTAGTCTAAAGAGGCCGGGACCATGTGACACATTCAGTGTGCTCTTTTCATCAGTTCCCTCTAAACTTTCAACATCAGCTTCTTGTGGTCCAGTTCCAGTTTATATGGAGACTGCCGTGAACTTACCTTCTATTAGTTTATTCAAAAAGGACAAAATGAAGCCTTTAAACAGCAAGCAGTCCTGAGCAAACAGGTACTGTTCAGGTCATAAACAGAGAAAACAAACACTAATTGTAAGGCACATCCTTTTTTTTTTTTCTTTTTTCCAACTTAGCACTTTTTGCTCTAGTTACGATTCTTGAGCAAGTCTACTGAGCAGAGGGATCATACTGATAATCACCATACAGTTGGGGGGGGTTAAATGCTAATAAGTCATCTAAAATGGTAAAATAATCTACAACAGTCTTAGGTGCTCCTTATTTCATTGTATTTTGGTACAAAGAAACAATATTAAAATATCACAGAGTGGCCTTGACCAACATCTTTCAAACTTTCTGAAGTTTTTATTTAAGTTTCTAGTTTTTATTTAAGTGCATTTTCACTTTCCTGCAATTTACCTGGCCAAATATAAGGAATGTTCATTAACCAGGCTGATTAATTTCAACTCATCAATCATTAAATATATACAATTCATCTCAAACAGCAAGGATGAACTTGTGCCATGTTCACATAGAACCTCCCAAAGAACAAAACATTAAATGGGATCTTGAGGCACTTTGTTCACTTCAGCTGAACCCAAACAGTTAAACTGTGAAATTGGATTTAGCACCAACAGATGGACCTAAAAGTACTAAAACTGTGAACTGAAGCATCATGCCAACTGTCAAAGACATGACTTTCAGACATGACTCCTATGCTGTAGATTTTGCTTTAAAGGAAGCTCTCCTTTAGTACTTTCTTTTTTAAGCACCTACATCATCTTCAGAAAGACAAGAAAGAAAGTGAACAAACATTCAGCTGAAGTCCAAAAAATGTTTGAAATATCTTTAGGATATAATTATCCTGGAACATTTCTATATGAAATTATGTCTATTCCAGGTTGACTCTGAACGTATATAGACAGCAATTTTTAACATTATATCTTAATACAAACAGCCAAGTAGTCAAAAATATATTTTTTAAAATTTCTGTATAACATATTTAACCTTACAGCATCAAACATTCTAAGCAGTTTTTTTTTGCATGATTCCGCTTCTATTCTGACTACCTAGGAGATCAGCTCCTAATCTTTGCTGAAATATTTCCTCCACATATTCTCGATGAATCAGGCCTCTGTCTGGGTATATTCAAAACATTAACATTAATAAAAAAAAATAAAATAAAATGATTACTTTTACCCTAAATCTGCTGGGGCTATAGATACTATAAACAATATAATTCCCCCCTGGTAAAATCCTCTTAAGAAGATTATTAAACCAAAACAGTGTCTTCAATAAGAGGCTCTCCAGATGTGGTGCAAGACAGACTGTTACAGGAGACCCTTCCTGCCTACAGCTATCAACACCTATAACAACTTATTGAAAAGATGCCCATGAGTTACTGCAACACTTATCTCTTTGGGATTCATACTTTTTTTTTTTTTTTATTGAATAAAAAGTCATAAAAAAATACTAACAACTTTACAGCAACCTTCCAAGCTCTAAGTCTATGTTCAGAATGCAGCTGTTAACTAGAAGCTAAGAGGCTAAGCACTTCTAGCATTTATTATCATGCTGCTGAGTTGGAAAGAGTATACATTTATTTATTTATTTATTTTTTGAATAATAGAAAAATGTGATCAAATAAAAGGGCAATAGACACAAGGAAAATCAATAATCATTTACACTTCTCTAGTCAGAATCCCACTCCTGAGTGGGACTGAGCGACTGGAGCGCCTTACCCTAATGATGGAGTTCATCTCTGGAGGGGTGACCTGCTTGGCCCGCTCTATGGCTGCCAGGACCTGCTGCTGGTGCTGCAGACAGAGTTTGTATTGATGTGGTGGGGTGGGCGGGAGGGGGAGCGAAGAAAGTAAGACAGACAATAACAGACAGAGAGGAACAACAGGAAGGCCAGTTTAGGGGGAGAAAGAGGTGAAAAGGTGAGATCAATATCAACTGTCCCAACAGACTCCCTGACAACCCTCCATGGTGATGCACTTCCCCCTCTGGACATTTAGCTATTCATCCAGCCATATATACACACACAAACATGCACACAGCCACAAAAAGCCTAGTGTGACACTGGTGAATGAATGGTTGACTGGTGTGCTATAATAGGTGGAGGTCAACCCCCTGGTGGGCAGATAAGAGCATGGCTTATCTGAATCACAACCATTTATTATACAGACACGTACACACACAAAGACAGGAGGGGAGGGGGAATGAGAAGGGGGGCAGACAGCGGAGGAATGGAGGAAAGTCGAGAAGTGGAGGGGGGGTTAAAAATAAGGTTAGGGAAGGGAGGACTGGGAGGAAGGTTACAGATTAAATATGGCAGGGGAGAGCCGAGGTGAGGAGGCTAGGGCAGGCTGAGAGGGAGTGTGAGGTGGAAGTGAACACAGGCAGCCAAAGATGATGAATGACGGGAGGAGAAAAGTGGGATGCTGAGTGAGGGGTCGCAGAGGTGGGGAGGTAATGAGGCGGGGATGAGGGTGATCTCATTCCAGGATGTAAGGAATATTTCAGTGGGTCAGAGGGCTGCTGATGACTGTCTCCGTGTGTTGGTGAGGTGTGTGAGTGTGATAGAGAGATGCTGCTTACCTCCTGAGACAGGTAGGGGAGGACTTGTGCACAGATCCCATTCAGTCTCTTTACTATTTCAGCCTGGAGAGGAAAAAAGGAAGATTATTATTGTCTTTTTGCAGAAGCATAAAAATCTATGAAGATTCCAGCTGCATGTTAAGACCAATTGCTTCACATCTGCCTAAAGTTTCAATATAAATGGCAAATTTAGACTCTGGATTGTTGCTGGTGCAAGTTCTAGATAAATCCAGTCCAATTAGACCCATTAGTCCTCCATGATGATGAACACAGAATCACAATCAGTGTTTCACCATCCATCCATCCATCCATCCATCCATCCATCCATCCATCCATCCATCCATCCATCCGCTTTAAATTAGGGTGCTTCTAGGTGAGGAAGGGCTCAACAACTATAAAACGGGCTTCTCTTTAGTTACCTGAGTTTTTGTTGATGGTATTTTGACACCATGACATTCAAAGCAGACACAAGCAAACTAGGGAGATTACTTCCCCTTTATCTGCTTTAATTTCAGTTCCTACTTCTTGCTCATGCTAGTTTACCATCACTGTCATAACCAAAGGTGGATTTTTGGTTCCTTATAGGTGTTTCAGTACTCTGCTAGGTCAGACATAAATCTTACTTCAATGGTAACATAGATACACATGCACTAAAGGACTCTTGGCTAAAAGCCTGGATAAACTACAAAACTAAACAGAAATAGGGTAGAACAGAAAGCAAAACAACAAAAGACCTTTAACATGCCTTCAGGTTTAGAGCACATAAAGAAGCAGAGAGTGGTTTTAAAATGGCCAATAGAAGTTAAGAGGACAAAGGCAGACCAGAGGACAAAGTAGTGGAATCTGAAAGAGGAGGAAAACTGTGACTTCCAGAGAAGAGTCGAGACAGAATCTGGGTGGCAACGATGCACCTCCATGACTGGACAACTATAGTTAACACATTAGGGAGAAAGAAAGGAGAGTTCTCCATATATATTTTCTAGAAGGAAAGTTGACAGAGAGACTTGGTGGTAAAACAAGGAAGCACAGAGGTGAGCTCAGAGGACATCAGCTAGGAAGAAGTGGGACACTGAGAACTGCAGGGAGCTGCCAGTCAGGTTTCTCACCAGTGTATCTTAGCATAGAGGGAAGCTACATTCAAAATTGTCCTCTCTACGCAAAAATGTAGCCTGCTACGCTTTGTACACATATCAGCCCTTTGACTGACATCTAGGCTCCTGCCCCAGGGCTCTGTCCAGCATATTTTAGCATAAACACTGGTTATGCTGAAGCTGTCAGTGACATTGAAATCAAGCTGATATATAGACTATCAAGGAGCATGAAGGCCGCAGTTTTTAAAGACATTAACTTCCCTATTTGCACAACTCTTTATACTGTCATTAAAAAGCCCTAAAAACTGATAGGACCAAGTCACAGTAGGAATAATGTCCTAAAACATGCTGAATAGTAATTGTAGAACTGCGGAGATTAGGGAAAATCAGGGGGAAAAGGGTTTGTTAAGCCATCCGTCCAACCAATTAGAACGCCATAAACATGCTGCAGATTAAAAATCAAGAAACTATGAAACAGCAGCTGAAGGCAATCCCTATTTTTAAGTGAAATTCATATTTAGGTACACCTGTGGAATTAAGTCTAAAGAAATTTAAATTTTCTCTAAAGAAAATTCATATATTTTTGCAATATTGTCCAAATACTTGATTACTTGATTGTGAGTGACTTTTAGCTGTCTTGATCCTGCGTGTTGAACACAGTAAAACAAAAAATACCAGCAATCAATCATTTCTTCTCCTGATTAAATGGAAATTGCTTCAGAGTAAAGACGGACACACAGGAAACATTTGACATGATCTTCCCAAACATGGAGAAATATCCACAGCATCTCACATCTACGAATACAGAAGACATGTCTAAATCCATTCATTCACCTCATTAATTAAATTGCATGTACTCAAGCCTCTCCTCAGAACTCTTGGAAATGTGGGCAATTAGACACATGAACACAAAATAACATTCGCAGACGCAGGCACACACCGACCCTTTCACCTCCAGCACATCCCCCCATCCTTCTTCAATGAAGGTTTATTATCACGTTTGGTTGGTAATCACCCAATCCGTCTGAGATATGCAAAGCAGCAGTAATTGTGTTAGAGCTTAATTCATAGCGGGATGAGGAGAGATGGGGGCCTCCTAGCAATCATTAGGCATGCAGAGCACAGCTCCCCATCAAGCGCTCGATTCCTATCCCGCTCGTCATTACACGTACAATCTCCCCCACATCTCTAAAACGTCTCTTTAAATCGTCTCTGCGGGACTCTCTCTGTGCCATCTTCGGAGCTTCCTCTTTTCAGCGCCCTTTGTACTCCCTAGATTTTTGTTGTTTTTTTTTCCCTGCTATGCTTCTGTTTTCTTGCCTCATCGATTCCCTCAGGCCTCTCCTTCATATATTTCTCTCCGACTGCTGCTTTCTCTTGAATTGCATCTTTTTAGTGTTCCTTTAGCTCTATTAGAGCATTTAATTACTGAGAAGGCTTTGTTCTGAGATAAGAAAAGATAAAACAATGTGTCTTCTGCAGTTTTATAGCAACTCATAACTGGACAATTTGTCATAAATTATTTTTCTCCTTACATGGTAACGGTTGTTGGATCTGCTTCTGTCATTCACTGAGGTTTCAGTCATTTTAAATGACTTAATCTTTAGTCATTTTGAAGCTGAAGAGGAGAAAAACAATATGCTGAAGCTGATCTAAAAAGTGTTTAAAGGAAATGAGTAAGACAGCCATGACATTTGTAACACTAAACAGACTTCCGCTGTTTTCTGGTTTCATCTTCAGAAAACCTTCAATATTTGAAGCATGTGGAACCCCTTCCAGCCAGATGGAAATAGATAAGTCATCTATTTTCATCATCATCATTCTAAAATGGAAACTCAAAATGATCCCTCCTCTGCTATTCTAAATACCAGAGCTAAATTCAAAACAGATGCATGTCACTAAATTCTTTATGAAAGAGATTTTTAAATTTACAGCATTTCAGGAGGCATTACCGTACTGTACTTCAAATAAGTATTGCAGACCTTTACCAACATGGTTTTATACAATAAAAAAGAAAATATTTAATGTTTTAAAACATTCAAAGTAAATCTTAAGGTCCACTTTACACCATTTCAAAGTCTGCATGGTTCTTAAACGCTTACTCAGGTAAAATTCCGAATGTGGAGAGTTGCTGTTGTTGCAGAGGATGTTGCTCTGCCTCTGAGATCAAGACATCACAGCAATATTTGTAAGAAAACTAAGTAATTCCCTGCTTATCTTGGGTTCTCACCACTAGCAGAAAGGTTTAAGAAATTACAAATTGTGTAATAAAGTATGATAAACAGAAGTGAAAGGGTGCACTTTTCTAGAAATCCACTGCAAATGAACTAAAAAACAAAAATGCAACAAGCCACACTAATAACTAAAATGTAAGTTACTGTAAAGCATAGTGGACCCCATCATCATCCAAAACAGAACATAACGGTTAACTATCTCACATGTCTATTTCTCGGATCCAGCAATGTGGCAAGAGCGTACAGGGGTTTGGCTCCACACTGCTGGATGGTTTGTGAACAGCTTGTAGTAGGGTTGTTTTCATTGTTCTAATGTCCTTAGCCAATATGCGCTTGAGCACTGTGATGGCTGGAATAAATACGCAACTGGGTAATGTTTAAAATGTCCCACAATCTTCCAGCAGCGTGCGCAATGGTATCACTCACACTCTGTGACAGTCCCTCACCGACTACTGGCTGCAGGGTATGAAGCAAAGCAGCCCAAGCTGCACACTCCCACAGTGTTCATGGCTTATTTAATGTTACTGATGATAAACCTTATGTGAACTTTTGTCAATGAAATTAGCTACAGATCAAGCTTTTCCTTTATAGCAGCCAAAATAATCTCCAAGGTTAGCCTGATAAACCAGACTAAATGTGAGATTAAATGTGTAATTTAGTCTGGCCCCAATGAATGAGACATTGGAAGATTGTTGATGAGAACAACCTGTTGTTTTTCAAACCGCTGTCTGTGCCTATTGGCCAACGCTCTGACCAATAAGTGCAACTAATTGACTGTGACGTAGTAAGCACAACAGAAAGCTGGTGGGGGAGTATAAACAAACAGCCTGTCGGTAAAACGTTGAATACTTCCTTCTCAAAAATTAATGAGCGTAGAGACTCTTTCTGCTCAGGTTTCAATGAAAACCCAAAGTCTAATCTTTCCAAAACTGATTCCAAAGCAGAGTCAAAAATCGCCATCAGAGCCAGCGGTGCTTCATACACAACTATGCTGAGAGAGGACCGCTGCAGACAGTCTGCGGTTCGCCCTGGCTGCCCTTAGCCTCGGAGGTCCGCTGGTTGCCACGGTCCTCTCAACTATGGAAATAGTTTTTTAAATGATGCATTAAATCGGTAAATGGACAATATGGTGAAGCTTTAAAGTATAATAGTCTCGCCTCAAATGATCTTAAAACTTACTTCTATTAAACATCAGCAACTGAAAAGAGAACTTAATTTTCAATGGAGCGTTCCATTGAAAGCTGCTGCTGCTGCTGCAGTGCAGGCTACTGTTCAATAGTTGCTGCCATCTTCCTTGTTGTGTTTTCTCCAGCGTCGCGCAGCTTTGTTGCCACGCCCTCACAACCCTGCCCACTATGCATCCAGGAATTTTTAAGACTTAAGACTTTTTAATTCCACTTGAAATAAAAATTTAAGACCAAATCCACAAGAAACACAAGAAAAACCCGCTTGCTACAACTTAACCAAAGGCTTTATTTAAACATAAACCACTGCACCAATGTTTCAAATTTTGAAAAGCTTCCCATACAGGAAGAAAGCTGAAAACACACAAATGACAGATATATTTTAACAATTATTTAACTGAATTCACAAACTTTGTTTTAGAAGGGAACCAAACGAATCAGTTTTAAAGCCACAACATAACCAGTGCCAAGTCTTTTTTGCAGCTATTTTTCCTTGCATCGTTTTCTTAGTATGTTTGATTTGGTGATAAGTGTAGGCGTTGCAGAGACAAGGGTGGAACAAAACCGAGAAATACCGGCTGTTTCTCAGTAACTCCATTTTGACGCTTTGAGTTTCGCGCTTCGCATGTGCGACTCCACTGCCTTAATTCCCATCGTTCCGAGCTTGAATCGCTTCTTGGACAAAATACACTGTGCCTCATGTATGTTCCCCGGTTTTAGCCATGGAGAAAACTCTTGGCTGGAGCCAATTTTCGTTACATGTACACTTGCTCATATTTTCCAGACAAAAAGTAAATAGCGCATCTACCAAATGTCCCGGCTGCAGCAACACTTTTATTGGTTCCGCTATCGGGGCGAAACCAATAATGGCAAACCATTTTTTTTTTTTTTTTTTTGATTACAAAAATAAATCGTAATAAAAATAATCCTATTTATGTTTTAAAAATTAAGACCAACGAAAGACTAATTTAAGACATTTTAATACCAATTAAGGCCTTCATTTTATTTTGAAGAATTCAATGCCTTTTAAGACTTTTTAAGGACCCGCGGGAACCCTGCACACCCTTCTCTTCGATATACGTTGCAACTTTATTGTACAGTTCAGGGCAGAGCGGTCTCAGAAAAAATATTTTAGAGATGGTTAGCTGTGTCTTGGTTCAAGATGTTCAAGTAGGCAATAGAATCCTTTAGTATCAACAACAGAGAATTGCTGCAAATCCAAAATAAACCTCATAACCTTCTCTGTTATGTCTGTTCCCTAAATGCAGCCGGTCAGCAGCTTCTCCCATCTGTGCAATGCTTCCACCAAAGTTATCTGCTTTGTTATAGTAGCCGGCTACACTCCAAGCTTGGGATGCTATTTCGGATGGTGCTTTTGAAGGTGTTAATGTAAGTTTCAGGTTTTGAATTTATTTATCTTTATCACAACCTTCTCTATTTTTGTGCTTGAACTGTAACAAAAGAGCAGACCTGGTCTGGTGCTTGCACCATGTTGCTGTGTTTCTTTAAAATCACCAGCTGCTGTGCGTGATGACGGCGCAGAGCACTGCTGACGTCAACATCAAATTGTAGTAAACAAAAACACTTAAATTTTATTGCCGCGTATGATATTAACAAAAAGACAAAAAATATATATATATACATATTTTTGAAAAGCTGGTTCAGTGTAATTCATGTGATATCCGATTCAGCTAATTAGTCAATATCGCAGTCATTACTGAGTATCGGATCAGTGCATCTCTAGTCTAAACCCTGGAACAATCAAATATAATAAAATAAATGTCTGTCTCATTCATTGAAATGGAAAAAAGAAACACAGGCAGAGAAAGATTTCTATCAAAGTTCCAGTTTAATTTCTAGCTCAACTCGACCTATTCTCTCCAAAAAGAAAATGTTCAAAGGAAACAGAGCAAAAAAAGCAAAAAGTCTGGAGAGGCATATTTTGAATTGAGAAGTGATTGAGAGGGCGCAACTCCAGACAACGCACAATGTATGAGAAAGAAAGAAAAGGAGAGAAATAGAGATGGAGGTGGAGAGAGGAGAATGAGGAGGAGGAGAGAGGGGAGACTGGCTCTGCACAATAGGCCCAGACATGAATGCTCCTCGACACTCGTTTCCACACATCCCCTTCAATTTCAACGCTCTAATGGAACTAGCCATTCGCTGCACCCACTCTCACTGGGCACAAAGAAACTACGCACACAGACACACACCTAAACAGGGAAACACATACACAATAACACTCAGATATTTTTGAACACGTGCCAGAAATACACATAAATTGAAGCACCGATTAAAGAGGACACCCTTTCAAAAACACGCATGCAAGCTAAAACTTGTACTTGTAGCAACATCCCACACATCCATTTAAAATTTTAATTTAGAGATAGCCAATGCAAAACCACAAGAACAAATAGACAATTTCACATGCACAAAGTGACTAATGGACACATGCACAAACACACAAGAAAAGCTTGACCCAACTTGTGCTTGTGAATTCTAGCCAAGACATTGGACACAGCTCTGCTTGCTAGTGTGCATGGGTGTGTATGAGACCAGCATGCACCAGTTTCCATCTTAGGCTTCCAGCATCTGAGTTTGTGAAGATGCATAAATGTGAAGCTCTTTAAATCATGGAAGCTGCTACTTTCTCCGTGTGTGTGAGTCCATTTGTCAAAACGTGCTGGATTCTGCCAATAAGCTTGTCAGTGTGCTCAATCAGTCATAGGGATTGTGTCTGTTTGTGTTTGTGTGTGCAGCTGGAGACGAGGTCACTGATAAGGGCTGGCCCTTTGGAGGCCCATCACTCACTCCCACCTACAGGTTGAGCATAAATTACTCCTCCAGTTGGGGCCGAATAAACCGATGCATGAACATCATCTTCTTTTTCCTTCCAGCCTAAATCAGGCTTCATCCACAGTTTTAAAAGGTGTGGACACTCATACCAGGTACAAGGAAAGCAAGTCATTCTGTAACACCATAGCCACAACTTTAATGCAAAAGCACAGTTAAATTCAAAATAAACTCACCTGTTTGTGCATCTCAATATTGAGCCCATAGGACATCTCGTAGTACTAAAGAGGAAATGAGAAATAAAAAAAAGGAAAAAGCTATGAAGTTCACAAGCAATAATCAGGTAATCTTTTGAGCACATCAAGCTATAGTTTCTGGAGTTTAAAAACAATTTGATGCAACAACTAAGTGCTCAAATAAATTAGGCTGATAGGCATTGACAGTGAACATGTTTAAAGTTTAAACTGCAGAGCAGTTGTTATAATTAATAATATCCATAATAGCCCCTCTTCCAAGGAGAGCCCCGGGATTTAAAGTCACAGGATTTCTATTTCCCAAGTAATGGAAATGCCTTCTAATTCTTCAGCATAATTTTCTAATACCTTAAAGTAAGCCTTAGAGAAACTGCACTACACCTTCAGTCCAACAGGTGGTGGTAATAAGTGGTGGAGGTAATAAGCAACTAGTTCTCCCTTTACCTCCTCCTTCCATCCCTAAGCTTAAAAAGTCTGACAGCATCTGGCAACACATTATGACTGCATGCTTCCTTTTGAAATAACCAATAAGAACAGATTAACACAGTTATTTATTTTATTAGTTATCTTTTTTATTATAAGTTAAATCTCAGCTCAATCAAAAAACCTGTTCAGTCAAAATGTCATTTAATCAAGTAAATCCACATGTAAAAGCAATGAATATCTTGACTTTATAATTTTAAGCATATATTCATATTCACTAGAAGTTGCAGAAGAATCCCCACAAGCCAATAGACACCCAACTCGTAATCTCCACATGCATGTTGTCAGCATGCAAATGTGAAAACTAAGGGAAACTATGTATATTTATACACATGTATATAAAGGGAAAATAGATTCAGACCAAAAACTCAGTCTAAGGATTAAGATAAATTTACCTTTGTTTCTACAATAAGAAGTGAAAGTACTTTGTCAGGTCATTACCAAGATATATTTTCTATGGCAAATAAGTTTATAATACCTACATTAACCTAAAACTTTATAACACATACCTTTTGAACGCTTTAAAGTGGGCATACACTTCGATTTCTTTGCCTTTTTTGGGAGGATTTCATAGTCGTGTGAAATAGTTGTTTTTTTTGGGGGGGGGGGGATTGAGCCCAATTAGAGCTTCATGGTGTATCCTGTGTAGTGTAATATACAGGGGGTAATGAGGGACTCTCACAAACACCTTCCAATCGGTAATCACACCGTCAAATGAAAATCAACTGTATCCTGCTGCTGAAGCAGAGCTACGAGCACAGATTACCTCTACCTATCTTTCCTACCTCCATCTCGCGCATTCAGCATGGAAATGCTACCAAGGCTTTAAAATCCCCAGGCTTTAGAGTGGCAGTGAAATAGGCTAATGGTTGTACTGGCACATTTGGTATGTTAGGTTATAAGAATGCCATAAAGGATATGCATGCTTGTACCAGTTTTTCTGGGGGAAAAAACTTGCAGAAAAGAAAGTCTGTATTCATATTCTTAAATATAATACCTAATGTTGGTGCCTTTGGTTGAAATAACCTCAATTGGAGTATTCATGCAGCTATTTCATAGCCAATAACATCACCACTCCACAGCATCTCAAGAGGACAAGTATGACGATGGTCCATCGGTTTAGTTTTGATGATAATTTTGTGTTTTTGGAGACCTTTTTTATTTACATTTTTGAGTCTACTTTTAGGTTAAAGCTGCTTTGGAAGCAGGATGGGTATGTTGGCAGCTGTTTTGAATATCCTTCACCCGAACACCTGTACTGCACTTAGGAATTATTTTGAGATATCTTTAAAGCTACTACAGCTTTGTTTCTTCAGGTCTGTGGAAAGACTTAACATCTTCAATGTGGCTGTGTAACAATGTTCTAAACAAGGCAGCAGATGTGATGTACCGATTTGCAGTTTCAGACGCTTTAAGTTGGGAAAAATTTGGAGTATCCAAATGTATTCCTTCACAGAAAAAATTTTACCATGTATTTTTATACAAATTAAAATTCTTGGTATTATTCAAATATGTATTACATATCCATACACCAAGCTATTTTTAAAACAGTTTTATTTTTTCATACACATCTCTTGATAGTATTGCCAAGGGAATCAAAATCCTGACAGGAATGACATCACTGTAAAATACGTAACATACATCATTATACAGAAAATATATAATCAAAAGATATGTCACCATAAAAGGTTCTATACAGAACAGGACTTGTTTCAAATCTTTATGTTCAACATAAAAAAATTAAATACTACAAGCATATTTAGAGGAGAAAAAAGGAGTTGAGAAACAAAAGCAGGCAGCAGAAAAAGAGCCTCTTTTGTGTGAAACTGTATGTGCGTTCAGTGTTAATGAGAGGGCCACCTTCCAGGCGTCAACCCTGTTAATCACCCACTCTGTCTGCAGGGGTCTGCTTATGTCACTGGAAAACAAACAACACACTTCCTTCTCTCATGCAGACACACACACACTGATGTACCTCAATTGCCCTTTCACACGTGCACCATTGTCGTTTTCTGTGCAATCTCATGCTGACAGGGTCTTGTGTACCAATGCAAGTACACACACACTGATCTCAATACACACCCACACAGAGACACACTGTATTCTGCGTAGCTGCCCACGCGGAAGCTCCCTAAAGTAATTACAGCACTGGGGAAATGGAGGTGCTGCCATTGGATGGGGGAGTGGGGCAACCTGATATGCTATTAGAGGAGGAGAGGGGAGGTCGCCTTGGGGATACAAGAATGGGCCTGCCACTGATGGATTGAAGGGGTGTTTGGGTGGCATTCTGAAATATTGCATTTCCAGTTTCATTTCTATATAAACAGTTGGAGCTAGGAATTAGGAAGATGGTTCAGGACAGATCTGTATCCAAAAACTGTCTTAACCAACAACACGTTCTGTTTAAAGTTCTGATCCATCCCCAAAGCAAGATAAACGTTTTAGATCCTGCAAAGACAGAAATGCTGCAGGAAGCAAACGTTATCCAGCCATAGCTCTTGGATTCCACAAAGTGGGAGCGTGCGTGCGTCCCATCCACTCCCTCCCTACCTGTTTACAGTGGTCAACATGTTCAACTAGTAAAAAAAAAGCACATATGTTACTTTCCCATTTAAATTAACTTTGGGATCAATAAAGTATAAAGTAAGTAAAGATTTTACGTGCACAGATTCAGATTTGATGGTGGCAGAGGCTATGCATACAAAGCATAAATGGGCTTTTAAGCATAATTTTAATCCAGAGTAAAAAAGAAAAAGAAGAAAAGTCAGGGTAATTTTCTTCGGTTTGGCTGAAGTCACATTTAAGCTGTCTAAAGGCTGAAAATGTTTCATCAATAATAAATGACCAATAATTACTGATCGTACAAGGTAGAACAGAATACACAAACCATCTTTTTTGTGGCTATGTGCTGTATGGAAGACTGATAATGAGTACTGTGCAATAAACTGTATGTACTCATGTGTGCTTAAGAGACACAGCAAATGCATCTGCATTTTGTGTCTCTGTTGGCCTGCTGATGATGGAGGGATCAGCGCAGCAGCAAAGATTAGACAAGATTAAAGCTAGTCGGAGGATCAATTAGAGGCAAAACATCAGATGGCAACACAGCTATGGCTAGCAACAATGAGATTAGCCCGGAGGTGGAGCAGAGAGCAAGCAAGCACATCTCGGTTTGTGAGTAAACCTGTTTGTGTCTGGGTGTGTGTGCGGCGAGACAAAGACGGGAGGAGATGTACTCAGGGGAAATGAAAGGATTTGATGAGAAATGACTAACCCTCAATTAGATACACATTTTACCCTGAAAATTACAAGCACTGACCAGTGACGTAAATAGAAGTGATTATTTCATTCCAACAGTCTTCCACAGAGCGGTGGAAACAGTATAAGGCTATAAGTGAACACTTGGTATTGGATGTTTGGTAAAGGGATAAATACAGTGAAAATATGCTAATTTGGAAAAGTCTAACCCGTGTCTGTAAAAACAGGAATATATGCTGCAGCTCTAGTGAAAAGTCGTTCCTAAATGGAAAGACGGCCATCAGCAGTTGCCAAAGCAAGGGATACTAGTGAACCAGAAAATCAATGATTGATACTATTTAATAATTGAAGTCTAGACCAAGGAAAATTATTTCCCATCTATAATCTAAGCCATTATGTGGTAAAGTGATTGGCTCCAACTGGAAGGAGTTTGAAGCAGGTAAACCAAGGTTTCAAAAAGTTCAAATTTTAAGTCAACTAAAAATATTTCAACCATACTGCTTAGTGGGGGGGGGGTCAATTTGGCGATATATTGTGATTTTCAGTTGCCCAATATATTATTGAACTTTCAGTTCCTAATATCGATTAAAAAAATATTTACCTAAAATCAATGAGGGGAAAATGGGCTACCTCTGCACCTACCCTGCACCACCTCTAAGAGTAGATAGTTCCTTAGAGCCCTTTTGTTTTGCTGGGCAGCTCCATTTTCCAAAACTTGCTTTTTTTCCATCAATACATTTCATTTTGATAGTTGGGGAAAATATTGCAATAAATATACAGCGATATTGCAATATCATGATATCGTATTGTGACCCAAGTATTGTTACATGTATTGTATCGCAACACACATGCCAATACTCACCCCTAGTGTTCAGCCTGTTTTAAGTCCCCTTAAGGAAGTCTTACACAAGAACAGCTTTATTCCAAATGGTGTTAAATCAAATAATTTTCAAAAATTCTACACAAAATACCACTTTATAAAAATGTGGGGGGGGAAAGTTTTGAGATTGTTGTAGATTTAATAAGATTAAGAACCTGTGAAATTATACTTAGGGTGATGTGCTAAAGTGTCTGTTTCCACTGGTCATCCTTGAGATGTTTCTACTGCTGAAATGAAGTCTGTTTAAGCTATAGAAATATCTCAAGACAATGATTTTTTGCCATTATTAGCATAACTACTAATAAATAATACATTAAGTAAAATTATTCATTGCATGGCCAGGTTGGAGTTGAAAGGCTTAACATTTCAGCCTTTTCATTTTCTCCTTTTTCCCCCCAACATTTTGTTTATGTTCAACCAGAAGGGGAGAAAATTTCACACATGTAAACAGATGATAGCTTATCCTCACCTAACTTTTGAAGAAACTGAAGCGTTAAAATGCCTTTGAAATACCTCAATCATCTAAGATTTAGACTATGGGAGGCTTAAAACCATAAGTAGCATCAGCCAACTTTAGCTAATATCAGGGCTCATCAACATCCTTAGACAATTCCCTCTAAAACAAGCTTCTGTATTTTGACTAAAAAATTTGCAAAGATTGTTCGATGGTAAACTTGCATATTAAATATTAGATAAACAAGAACAACTGCTTTGATTCTCAGGGCAATTAACACTCCTGGTTTTTTCCAGGGATTGGTAAGAGTGAGAAAAGTCAAATCTTCAGAGCAGTTTGCTGCTAAACAGAGATGTTCAGACCCGGCCTAACATTGTCATGCAGTTACAAAACAATGTTTCTAGGGCAGTATTGCTCCAGTGTTGCACAAAGCTCAAAGAAAAAGGAAAAAGTCTGTCTCATGGCATTTCTGTTTCCATCTCTGTCTTCAAATTTATTTGTGTGCCTCCACCTCTTCATTATTTCATATAGCCCAGCGAGACCTTTTCAAACCATTTCATCCCTGGAGACGGTTTTTAGAATGTCGTCTTTAATCTCAGAATATTGCAAAAGTTAGACATATCTTTTCCAGGGGCGATGCTCTTCTTCTCAAATGTACTGCTATTTCTTCACATTCTCTTTGCTAACTTTTGCTGCAATGACCCAGCACACATATTCACTGCAAGCCAACTGCTCCAGGGTCAAGATAAACCATAGTGAGATCAATATTTCTAACTGGGCCAGGTTACTGTTCTTTGTTCTGTTTCAGGGTCCGGGATGGGTTCACATGGTATGATCCATTTCAGAAAGGCTGCTCTGGGATTGTAAAAAAGCAGTCCAAATGTTTCATGTGAAAGTAACATCAGCTACCAGGTAAACCATAATGAAGGAAAGGAGGGGCTGTGTCTGTAGAGCTAAGTGGTAAAGCTGGGTCCATAATTTGGCAAGTTGTTTTGTTTTTGACCCAAATAGGTTTCTTCACAAGCTTCATTCTTAGCACCCACTTTTCACCCGCTTTGAGTCTTACAGACTTAGACAAATTTTATTGTAATTTTGTATACACACAATTAACACAGAACAAAATTTTGTTTTGTACAGCTTTCATAACATTTCCATTCCTTAATTCCTCTGCAAATATGCAGAGTTTCATTAATGAGGTTACAGGCTTGGGACACGCGGCGCTGGGAGGACTTCATGATAGGAGTCAGTAAGATAGGCTGGTAATCATTGAGTGAGGTGACCTGAGGCTTTTCTGAGACCTTCAGACTTAAAGCATGCTGGCACTATGGATTGTTCAAGTGAGGTATTAAAACTGTCTGTGAGACGACAGTGGGGTGCCAATTAGGGGTGTAAATAATAATCGTTTTGTATCGATGCATCGATCCAACAGCCAACGATCCGATGCATCGACACGTCCGCAAGAGAATCGATTCATGTTTTTTTTTTTCCTCCTGTCTATTTTTATCAATTTGCTCCTGGGAGTAATTCTCCCTCCCGTGCTGCGGTGGCGCTAAAGCCATTTTGCCCTCCTACCTCACTTCCTGGTTATACTCCTACAGCAGTGTGTTGCAGTAAGCTTGACACAGACATTTTT